CAGGAGTTGCACTTCAGGGTATTTATACACAGAAATCCAAAACACTAATTTGAAAAGATAACGAGTCCCTATGTTCACCGCAGCATTACTGAAAGAAGCCACGCAGGTACCCACTGACAGATGAGCGATAAAACACTGCAGTACACACATACACACACATACACACACACACACACACACACACACACAGGAATGTGACTCAGCCACAAAAAAAGAATGATACCTGGCCATTTGTGACAACATGGATGGACCTAGAGGGCATTATGCTGTGAAGTCAGTCAGTCTGTGAAGACAGACAAATACCAGTGATTTCACTTATATGTGGAATCTAAGAAACAAAATAAACAAACTAATAGAAACAAGTTCGTATATACAGAAAACAAATTGATGGCTGTCAGTGAGAGGGGCGTTTGGGGGATGGGTAACAAGAGGAAGGAATTAGGAAGTGCAAATTTCCAGTTATAAGACAGTCATGGGACTTCCGCCAAGATGGAGGCATAGGTGGATGTGCCGTGCCTTCTCACACAACCAAGTTTAGAGACAACTAAATATTAGCAACAGAAAACACAGCCAGAACACGGAAAATTGAACTTTTCGGAAGTCCGTTAACAACAAATTCTTCAGCCTGACCGGTAAGGGGCGACACCAGCGGCTGGTGAAGCGGGATTGCACAGGAGGTCTCGGTCAGCCGGACTCAGGCTCGGAATCCAGACGCGCAGAATCCAGGCGCAGGGTTGGACCTAGTGAGCGACTGAGCGAGCCCCCAGGCGAGCAACTGCGGGGGAGACAGCGGGGGAGCGGTGCTGCTGTTGACTGTGGTCGCGCATTTGTGCGCGGGCGCGGGCGGACAGGCGAGGGAGTGGGCGGTTGGACCGGAGCCTGGCGGGTCCCCGCGGCAAGTGGCAGTGGAGGGCGCGGCCATTTCCCCGCTCTGACCCCACCTCCACATACAGCGTCATAACCCAGCGACTCTGAGTGGCCCAGCCCAGGTGAACCACCTAAGACGCTAATCCTCACCCAGCTGTGAGAAACAGCAGAGGGGGCGCCATTTCCCCCGCTCTGACCACACCCCCACATATAGTGTCACAACCCAGCGACCTGGGAGTCCAAGGCACCGCTTCTCACACTTAAAGGGCCAGAACAGACCAAAAATGTCGCAAGATCTCAAAGCCCCAGAGCCCATAGATCTCTAAGCGATGAAGAAACAGCAAAACTCTCAGACGCACAGTTTAAAACACTGGTCATCAGGATCCTTACAGAACTGGTTGATTATACCAACAAATTAGACAAATATATGAAGGCGAAACTAATTGAAATGAATGGAATTGCACAGGACACCAATAGCAATGAAAAGGAAACTGGGACTCAAATCAATGGAGTGGACCAGAAGAAAGCAAATAATGGCCAAACAGAAAAGAGTCAAGAAGCAAGAATTCAAAAAAATGAGGAGAGGCTTAGGAACCTCCAGGACAGCTTTAAACGCTCCAACATCCGAATTATAGGGGTACCAGAAGGGGGAAAGGCACAGCCACCAGTGGAAAACTTATTTGAACAAATAATAAAGGAGAATTTCCCCAATCTGGCAAAGGAAATAGACTTCCAGGAAATACAGGAAGCTCAGAGAGTCCCAAAGAAGTTGGACCCAAGAAGGAACACACCAAGGCACATCATCATTACATTAGCCAAGATTAAAATGAAGGAGAGAATCCTAGAAGCAGCAAGAGCTAAGGGGACAGTCACCTACAAAGGAGTCCCCATCAGACTGTCAGTGGATTTCTCAAAAGAGACCTTACAGGCAAGAAGGGGCTGGAAAGAGGTATTCCAAGTCATGAAATCCAAAGACCTACAACCAAGATTGCTCTATCCAGCAAAACTTTCATTTAGAATGGAAGGACAGATAAAGTGCTTCTCAGATAAGATCAAATTCAAGGAGTTCATCATCACCAAGCCCTTATTATATGAAATGTTAAAGGGACTTATCTAAGAAAAAGAAGTTAAAGAAACATGAACAGTGAAAGGACAACAAACTCACAGTTATTAACAACCACACCTAAAACAAAAGCAAACTAAAAGGACAGCTAGATCAGGAGTGGAAACATAGAAATGAAGATCTCAAGGAGGGTTAGCAACAGGGGAGTGGGAGGAGGAGAAGGGGGGAGAAGGTACAGAAAATAAGTAGCACAGACAGTAGATAGAAAATAGATGGGGGGGCAAGAATAGCATGGGAAATATAGAATCTAAAGGACTTGAGACACATGGTCATAAACTAAATGGGGGGTAATGGGGGGTAGGGTGGAGGGGAATGAAGGGGGGGAATAGAACAACTGTAACAGCATAATCAATAAAAAAATTAAAAAAAAGACAGTCATGGGTATGTAAAATACCAAATAAGGAATACAATCAATAATATTGTAATAACTATGGTGACACATGAGTACTAGACTTACGAGGTGATCACTCCATAAGTTATATAAATGACTAATCACTATGTTGTACACCTTAAACTAATATTGTACGTCAACTGTAATTAAAAAATTATTTAATTTTAAAAAGGAATAAAATAAAACCAGATGAGTAAAGAAAGGGTTGCCAGAGGACAGAACCACAAGGTACATGCCCTAGCAGAGAAAAGAGAATTGCAAATGTGGCAGAAGAGACATAATAACAGATAAGTTTCAAGATGAAATAAACAATGCTAAATGATCAAGGTGTTAAAAACCAATAAAAGGCTTTGTGACTTGTGTTCATCATGACCTTCAACAGTCAGTGAAGTGTGAAGGGAGGGAGGGGAAGGGAGGAGCTAGACAGGATGGGGGAGGGAGGGGAAGAGGGGCAGAGAAAGAGAAACAATGTGATTGATTCAAACAACAGGCAAAATATGAAGGAAAGGAAGAAACCAGTCTATTCTAAGAGCCTTGGAATTGGGTTAGCCAAAAAAATCCATGATTTTTTCAGTAAAATAAGACATATTATCATTTTCACCAATAACTTGATTTATCTGGATATTTTGAGTATGTCAGCTATCTCCTGCTACTGGCTTCTAATGGGTAAAGTCCAGGGGTGCTGCTAAACATCTTCCAATGCATAAGACAGCCTCACAGAAAAGAATTATTTGGCCAAAATGTCAATAGTACCAAGAAACTTCACAAACCACTTTTGACACATTAGACCAGCCACAGCACCTTCTCCACACTGCATAAATTTATTCATTCATTTATTTACTTTTGCATTTTTACCTTTTTTTAAATAATAAAACATTGTCTTGGCTGGTGTGGATCAATGGATTGAGCACCAGCCTGCAAACCAAAGGTCCATTGGTTCCACTCCCAGTCAGGGCACATGCCTGGGTTGTAGGCCAGGTTCCCAGTAGGGGGCATGCAAGAGGCAACCACACATTGATGTTCCTCTCCCTCTCTCCTTCCTTTCCCCTCTCTAAAAATAAAATCTTTTTTTTAAAAAGTAATAAAGAATATGCCAAAAATGTTGCATATTTTCTTTCATCTTCAATATTGAAATGGCTGCACAAAAATCCTCCAACTGAGAAAAGTTTTTTTAATGCACACTGGTATGACAGTTGTCACAATACAATCTAACAAAATTGTTGCTAATGAAGTTGAAAACAACTTAGCACTACTTGACCCATTGTAGGGAAAAAACACTAAACAAACTTTTTGGCCAACCCAATAGCAAAAGCAAAGCAGTTTTGATAGCAAAGGTGGTGAAGCCAGTGGAGAAGACACTGAAGATGTCAAAGAAAGAAAACACATAACCTGGTTCAAAATAAATTGTATTCTTAATGAATAAAACGGCTGTGTAATATTCTCTGCCAAGAAGAATTTCTGCTAAAGAACCTCAATATTGCGGCTGGCAGTGCTCGGATCGGCTCACACCTACAAGAGCAAGAGGACAGCTCTAACCCCCTCTGAGCTGTTCCTCTAACTACACAGCGCTGTGTGCGCCTGCGCTGCCGACCCCAGGGAAGACTGGGCGACTACGGACAGATTAAGAGACCATTTCCCACACCTGCCTCAGCATAAGAACCACCTGGGACGCTTCTTAACAAACAAACAAAAGAAACAAAAAAACACTCCCAGGCTCCCTTCTCTGTAGATTCTGATCCTGCTGGTCCATGGCGCTTATTTTTCAACAAGTGGACCTGATGACCAGGCAAGTTTAAGAGATTATTATTATAAATCCCTAGCACCGAAAAACTGTGCCCTTGGGGGCCCGGCGTGTCCCCTCCACCGACCTCTGCCACCACCACCACCACGCTCGTCCTCCGCGGCCCCACCCGCATCACTGTGGTCAATAAATCCCTAGCACCGGAAAAGTGTGCCTCTGGACCCGCCTCACCCCGCCTCCCAGCCCCATCTCGCGTCCTCCTCCCGTGTCCAGCTTACACGCTTAGGCAAAATGCACTTCGAGATTCCTGAATCAAATCTGTTATTCGCATCGGATCCGAGGGGACAAACACTAAGACACCGCCCTAGCCTAGGTTTTTCCAGACAATTCACCGCCGGACTCTGCATCAGCCCCACTAGTTAGTAAAGCACAGGTGCAGCGCACGTTTCAACGCGGGAAACCGATCCCACCTGCAGAGGAGAAAAACAGGGCTAGACAAGCCTCATCGCGCTGCGGAGGTGAGCAAGCCCCAGGCGGGGAGCCAGAAGCCAGGTCACCCCGAACGCCTGAAGAGCCGCTGCGCGGCGGCCGGGCACCGGTCCCCACGGGTCCCGGAGTTCGGGACAACCCCCGCCCGGCGGGGCACGGCCGCGAGAGACCGAGGGAGGTCAGGCGGACCCACTCTCGGCCGGGCCGGCGGAGTCCGGAGGCCAGGACGCGCCTTCTCGGGACAACCAGGCAGAACCCACGGGAAACGAGGGCCGGTCGGAACCACCCATGAGCCTGACCCAAGCGGAAAGACGAGACACTGGGGGTCGCGGGGCACTACGGCCCGCGCGGACGGGGGCGTCAGAGCGACCCCGCAGCGGTCTCCTTACCTCATGGGCGCCCACGGGCTCCGCGCTCCTCCCCGGCCGGAGAAAGACCCGCAGCAGCAACTACAGTCACCAGGGTTTCGGGGTCGGGGTCCGGGGTCCGGAAAGGGGGTGGGGCAGGGACGAGGAAGGGACGAGTTGGAGGGAATAAAGAGTTCCGGGGAAGCGGGGACCGCGACCTTCCGCGCTTTACGATCCCCGGGAGCAAGGGTACGTCGGCGCGTGATCTCACTCGCGCAGGCGCGCTGCGGCGTCAGCGCTGCAGCCCCGCCCCTGCACGTGGGGCTTGTTGGGGTCTCGTTAGGTCTGTCTTTTGTCTCTGCCAAGGTGGAAGTCGTTTGGAGGGATTACCCCCCAAGGCCTCTTTAGAACTTCAGGCTCATAACCTGTTAATTTCTGCAAAGACAACGAGCCCATCCTGGCCGAGGTGGGCAGCAGCCCCGCTGGATTTGTGGCTTGTGTGGGGTTTCTCTTTACTGTGAAGGCGCTTTTCCCGGCCTGGCCCCACGAGGGCTCTCAGCCCCAAAGCCACCCTAGTCCGGGGCGTTAAAAGGCTGTTTGGACCGACAGTTGTTTGTTTCTTGAAGTAGTTCAAATCTTCCCGGGCGAGACTCTAGCAGAGCAGATTGGAAATCCAATTTGTAACCCTGCTGCACCTTGGAGGCAGGATCTTACTCTGCGCCTTTCTAACTAGGGAAAGACGAATTCCCTTCAGGCCATCACTTTTAGAAGTTCCCCCCTTCCACCCATCCCTTATTATCACGCGGACCTGTTTTCTTTCCTTTAAAAGACTCATCACTATGTAAAATACATGTTTGTTGACTGATTTTCCAACTAGTTATAAGCCCTGCCCTCTCACGACAGAACTTTGATCTACTGCATGGCTGTATTCGCAGCACTTAGAACAGTTTGGCACGTTGTCCAGTAAAACTTATTTTGAATGACAGCAATCTAATGGTATAGCCACCCCTGAGTTTTGGGCCGCACTCCTGTTCGTTCCCATTCTTCGGATTCAACCACATCTCACCACACAAACCAATCTTGTTTTATCCACAGCCTCTTGTGGCCAGGCACTCTGTTGGGCGATGAGCTTCAGCAGTGCACAAGAAACTTCTGCCTTTATGGAGTGTCACTAAAGTTCCAGGGACCCTGTGTCACCATGCCAGCCCATAATGTACATACACCACACACTAGCCAATGGACTCACACAAGGCAGCCCCCATGAGGTCTGGCTTCCTGAGAGAAGAAACTGCCTCTTGGTAACTGCTTCATGAAAAGTTCAAGGCATTCTGGGCTTCTCTCCTAGATAAATACTTCAGTATTTTAGCTAAATGCTTAAAGCTTGAGGTCACCTATGTGTCCCCTAAAAGAAGGGATAAACTAATGAACCTGGGGTATATATTCTTGAGGAAGCCTTCCCTGGTACCCAATCTGACTCTTTGTGGAGAAAAACTTCACAAGTTTTTTTGGTGAGTCAAATAGTTGGCCCATGCCATTTCAGTGCATAGGAATTTGGGAGAAACCTAGTTGTCTGTAGGAAATGGTGGATGGAATGAAGTGACATTTAATGTATTGATTTCATTCTGTTTACATGCAATAAGTTTTTTAAAAATTATTTTTAAACAGCAATGTGTGGTTGCTTCTCACATGCCCCCCACTCAGGACGTGGTCCACAACCCAGACATGTGCCCTCACAGGGAATGGAACCAGTGACCCTCTGGTTTACAGGGGGTACTCAATCCATTGAGCTACGCCTGCCAGATTGCATGCAGTAAGTTTTGAATGAGCTGTATAGATTTCCATATGTTACTCACCTGTCATCATTTTGGCCTCCACTTTATTTTATTTATTTATCTTAGAGGGGAAAGGAGAGAGGGAGAGAAACATCAATGTATGGTTGCCTCTCATTGTGTCCCTGGCTGGGAACTGGCCTGCAGGGAACTGGCTTGCAACCCAGGCATGTGCCCTGACTGGGAATTGAACCACAATCCTCTGGTTCGAAGGCCTGTGCTCAATCCGCTGAGCTACACCAGCCAGGGCTTTGGCCTCCACTTTAAAATGCTAAGTCCTAAAACTTATTTCATTGTCAATGTTAACTTATACTTCGTAGGCTCTCATAAGCACCAGTGCACTATTTTAAGAGCATGGAGTGTGTTACGTTTTTGGCTGTTCTTTTCCATAAAATGTCAGAGTTATTCCTTGTGAGATTCCAGACTTCTCAGAGCAAAGCATCCCTTGAAGAGTTATACATTTCTATGGGCCATTTTGTCATGCTATCTAGATGTGGCTATTTTTATCTCTTGTAAAACTTCTGCCTTCTCCTTTTTCTGTCCTTAAGGACAGTAAATACAAGAGGTGGGAAGGATATTTTTAGCATCTGTTTCAAAAGAGCTAAGCCAGGAATTCCTTTGCACACCAAGAACTGGGGCTTGGAGCACATCTTTTCTCCACACCAGGTTCTCGTGCCTTACACGTGAGAATGTCACATGGTGGGCAGAGAGAGGAAGGCCAAAAAAGAAACTCCGTTTCAGTCTGAGGGTTCCTATCACCTCACTCAGCCCCTCCCTCCCCAGAACAGGTGGGTGTGGGGGGACGAAAGCTGCCTGAACACCCCGGTGTTCTAAGCCTGTCTCAGTGAAGGGTGTTCTAAGCAGCACAGTTGACACTTTCCTCTCTGGTCAACTCTTGGGATGTATCAAAGCGCCACTGTAGTTACTGTAAAGTGCTGTGATGCATTCTTTGCATGTGTAAATGTGCACTTGTGTTCAGCCCTTTCTGTCCCTGTGCAGCGTTAGCTGGTGGTCCTGAAGACATCTGAGGCACTTAGGTAACTGGGACCTTTCCTCAAGAGCCCTGGTGACTGACGTTAGGCACACGGGGTGACCGAGCACGTCTGCCCTCCATGAACATGGCATTAACGTTGTGGGCTGTATTTCTGTCAGGGCAGATTTCAGTTCAGATTTTCTTTTTGTGTTACTAGGTTTGTGAATGAATAAACAGACACTTTAATTACTCTTGCCATGCCTGCCTGTGAAATATTCTTCATCTTCAGTAACTCAGTTTAGTACATGTCAACACAAAAGGAAAGCCTCATAAATAAAACTGTTGATTCCTGTGTTACCAAGTTTAAAACCGAGTTAAAGTAGACACTGGCATCACATTACTCTCCATGCAGTGATGGCCTGGCTAGAGAGAGCCTGCCTTCCTCCTTCCGAAGTTATTATCTGTCACTGCGTTCAACATCCTGCTTCACAGCAGACTTCCTGCTGAAAACCTGACAGTCACGTACCTGTGAGTCCAGGTTAATGTGGGAAACAGGATATATGTGCATACTTGGCCATACCCGTGGGAAGATTTCAAAACATTATCCATGAGAAGCAGCCCGTGCTCCTGCGACAGTCACCCTCATCCACAAATCATAGTGTGTGTATGTGGTAAGACACCTGCTGGGGGCTCAATACCAGGCTGGGTGCTGTAGAACTATTTCACACAGACCGGGTAAGACAGAGTAACACTGCAACAGCTACTGTGCCAGGCGTGTGCCGAATGCCCTGGCTGTACTACCTCACCGAAATGTCACGAAAATGGTGTAACAGATATGAGAATATCCCTGATTCACCGGTGAGGAAAATGAGGCTTAGAGAAATGCATTCTCAGGTTGCAAGTAATAAAAACCAGGACTCACATCTAAGTCTATAACACATGAAATAGTGAACTATTTGTGTTAGTGCTAAGTAGTGTGGTAGAGACTCTAATGCAATAGAATCACCTGGGAGATTGAAAAGAAGGCCCTCGGAATGGAGGGAAATCAACAAGGCTGAAGGACAGAGCAGTACTTCTGAGGACTTTCCAGGAACTTGTATCTCGAGACCACTGGATAACTGTTAAGAGTCTGAAGGAGAAATGAGAGTCATTTAAAGCTTTCCGGATGAGGGGCGACTTCAGCTGGTTCTCAAAGAGCGTGCTTTAGGCAGGACACGGGTTTCCCTCATACGGTGTCCCATCCCATCTTTACGACAGTCGTACCAGGTGAGGTTTTGGTAGATGATGCACACTCAGATGGAACATGACTTTCCCAAGATCACACAGCTCGTGGGAAGGTCTGGAAACGAAGCCAGGATGATATATCTGAATCCAACGCTCTTTTTGGTTTACCAGAGAACAGGTGGCCAGGAGGGCCTCTGAGGCTGAGCTGACCCAGTGACCGGAAACAGAGAGACAGAGAAGGACAGACAGTGGAAGGAGCTCGAACTAGCTGTGGTAGATTGATGTTGTTTTCAATTGCTCATTGCATCCGCTGTGTGACCTCACAGCAGTGCGTGGAAGGGCTGGAGTGTATTTTTGTCCTACTAAAATCAGTTGGCTTCAGCCATCTGTATGGCAATTTGTTTAATAACAATTTATTTATTTATTTTTAGAGAGAGGGGAAGGAAGGGAGAAAAAGAAGCCAAGAAACATCGACCAGATGCCTCTCAGACACGCCCTGACCGAGAACCAAATCCATAACCCAGGCAGGTGCCCTGACCTGGAATCAAACTGGCAACCTTTAACTTTGTGTCATGAAACCCCCACCAACTAAGCTACTATGACTTTTTTTTCTCCCAAATTTTATTTCTTTTCTTAGAGAGTGGGGAAGTAGGGAGAAAGAGAGGGAGAGAAACACCAGTCTCCTCTGATCCACCCCCAACCAGGGCCCCGGCCTGAATCCCAGGCATGTGCCCTGACTGGGAATCAAACTGGTAACCTTTTGGTTCAAAGGCTGGCACTCAACATACTGAACCACACCAGCCAAGACCGCTATGACTTTTTTCAAAGGTGGGCAAATGTGGAGCAAGGCCTTAAGAGGCATTGTGCATTTTCATTAGCCCTGTGGACTCTTGCCATCCGCCATGAGAAGATCAGGGCATCGTACTCAGAGCACTGTATCATGGAGGATGAGAGATGCATGAAACAGACCTGAAAATCTGCCTGCAGCTAAGCCCCGACCCACACCCTGAAAGAGAGCTGCCCAGCCAAACCACAGTCACCGGCCGGCGCGTGAGCATGAGACCAAATGGCTGTTGTAAGGCACTGTTTGGGCTGGTTTGTCATGCAGCCTTTGTGCACCTCACATACAGGGTCTTTCAATATGTCGTTATACAGGAATTATGAAACCAAGGCCTACATGTCCTTAAGGAATTCTTTCACCTACTGCAAACCTTGAAGTCAATGATCTTTA